AAAAAAAAAGCAAATTTCGACAGAGAATGGACTGAAACTTTGCATTTTGGTAGTTCTTATTCATGCTTTGCGTCCGTGCTTTCAAAATGCATTTAGAATTGTAGAGGCTATGGAATGAATACTTTACTACATAGTTGCAAGACAGGGGCTCAGAGAAGCTGCTGAGGTCTCTCGTTATTTCCATTCCCTCTCTTTCCAATTCCTTTCATGAATACTTGTTGCAAGAAAAGTTTGATTAGAAAAAATCTATTGCAGAGTTCATCAGGACAAGTTCAATCCATTGTGATAGGCCATGCTGATAGCTAGTTAGTTTGAGGTGCCGCCAGTGCCTACATACTCAACAATACATTGCTACTGGAACCTTGAAATCCTAAAATTTTTAGGCTCAGTCTGATTACATACAATGATCCTAGAGGAGGAATGTACTCACATGGTTTCACTCGAAACTCAGTCCATTTGAGTGTTCTTAAAGCTCCTTTGAATATTAAATTCGTGGCGCATCATTGACCAGTTTAGCCAACCTCGGCTAATTCGTCCTTATGTTTTTAGTGGAACCTCAGAAATATTATTGGACCTGTTCAGTTCCGGCGTTCTTTTTTCTTAAGCCGAAATGGTAATTCCTCGGAAAGAGTGATGTTTAACGGAAATTAGAGACGTCGGCTCCCATGTATTTATCGCTGTCGGAGGCCAATCATGTAATCGTTTATGTACCACGGGAGGTGAGCCTCCGAGCCTCCACTTCAATAAGGGGATAGAGAAAGGTCACAGTGTTTGTATACGTCGAGTATGCGGTAAACGGGCTCTCAATGAATAGCGTTGACTTGAATAGCCTAATTGAACCAACACTGAAGGACGGCGACTGTCGTTCTGTTCTTCACCGACCGTCCATTACAGCGGTAACCTCTAAACGATTTGAGGCAAATATGAACCAGTTTAGAGGGAAGGGACATCGGAATTTGCTTTATTGTGAGTCACAAAAGACAAATCTTTATAACTTTTGCTCATGAAATTGCATGGGCGACTAACTTTTGCTCGACATTGGTGAACCTTTTTTGAAGGGTTAGGAAACCATATAGGGTTGGTGCGGAGAAGGGGGTTTCTTCAGTTTTTCCCTAGCTTTGTCGTCCCTTTCCGCTCATTTTAAAGGTGATCAAAATGATTCTAGAATGCTGTGGAATATTTTCGAGACTTTTGAATATATAAAGAATACAGTAGTTGATAATTTGATTTTGTTTTCTTATAAATAAAATTAAGCAACCACCTGGCAGTATCTTCTAAATGACTTTCGCTCTACCATAACTCTTCTGGGTACATTTTAAGTCCTGCAATTTATTTATTCCTCCTTCGTGAACCCGTAAGGTACCAAGCCTGTCAATGAGGTCTGACCTTGGCAAGTTTGGATACTGTACAGATAAAACAGAAAGGATAGTCTTTGGCGTTAGTCAATGCCGATTTGGGATGTGCCCCGCATGACTTCTATTCAGAATCGTGGTGGCGACTTGAGTGCATGTGTGGTCTATACAATAGCCTCCGGTGATCAGCCGAAGTAACACTCAGTGCGTTTATCCTCCCAGACGAGTCTAATACCGATTAGCCGACTCTGGATGGATAGAGCACTCGGTTGCTCGCCCCACCTTTCAGATAAAATGATGATGATGATTCTTAACATTATACAGAATTAATTCAACTTCATTCAACAACAAATTCCCTCTCAACCAGTTTGTCCGATTCAGTCTTCTATCCAAGCTGCTCACAGATATCTTTGGAGTCTCATACTAGGACTGTAACTTATGTATTTCAGGCGGAGAGATGGAGCATTGGTGCTGCCAATACGTGTGAATATCGTTGAAGTGTTCTTATCCCACCTCGAAAGCCCTCACTGCCGAAAAGAGGTTTGTTGTCTTTTGTCGTTTGCCTTTCCCACTGACTACCGTGGATGCGATGTGTAAGCAACCCGTTCGTCAGCACTGAGCCATTGTCTAAACCATTGAAATAACGCTTTTACCGCTTTTTCTGACTAACCAAGCCGCTTTTGCTCGATGACCTTATCAGATCGAGGGAAAGCCATCATTTGCTGTTGAAATATTGCCCTTTAGTTTNACAGCGGGTTTGTTATGCATCGCATCTTGACATTTTCTTACCAATCTGAATGAACAGTTGTTGGGAAGATTACCTGATCAAGGCCGCTTCCCGATAGATTCAATTCTTCTATTATCAAATCAGTTTCCAACTTAATTGTTCCGATTGCATGTAGTTCGCTTTAGTGTTACGGTCTCGTAGGTTCAAAATCGCGCTTAGCTCCGAGTTAGAGCAGTGCAAAGGAATGTTCCAGACTTTGGGTTGATTAAAACTGGAGCCGATTACCTCCCAAATGGAAGTCTGATGCGCAGGGCATCACCCAAAATGGCCTAAGCCGACCAGCCATATGCAGCAAAGGGGCCAGAAGAACAGTATCGGTCATTCAGAACTTGTTGGACAGCATCTCTTTGAGTTCGAGCTTCTATAAAGTACTGGCATCCAACAATAAGTAGACGGCTTGGAGGGAAGTGGAACCAGCATTGATTGCGACTAACCTCTCCAAACCTGAAGGGGTTCAATATAGCGAACCTTTGGGAGGTGAAAGTTGGAGGCATGGCTCCATATTACCGTTTTAATTTCACCATAATGCTCGGATTGGAGAGGGGGCGGTTATGGGACCAATCCTTCAATCGCAGGGAAGGATCACTTGAGGCTGAAGTGTACCCAGATACAGGTGCCTTCGAAAATTGTTGGAACGAAAACGCTTCTGTAATGAAGGAGTTACTTTTCCAAATAGCAGTAATCGATTTTCAATTTGGGAACGGACAGGTGCTGGTGCAGGGAGTTGTGACTTCTTTTGTCGTGGTGTTGCTATGCACGTAATTGAAATATATAGGAAACGAGATTAGAGACCTTCACACGGTATACGGTAGCAGGATCGTGATTCGCTGTAAATGAGTGCCCTTAATGAGTTTTGCAGCGTTCTTATAGTTAGTACAGCGTTACTGTGAAACACAGACGTAAGTCTAACAAGTAAATGGTACTGGGAACCCAAGAGGAAACCCGTTTACCGTGATTTTTGGGAAATTAATCGGGTTTCACCATTGACTTGGTCACATACGTAGATGAGGTTGCAGGCGTCCACTGTTTAGAGGCTTGTGAGATAGGATCCGATCTAGGTCACTCCCAAGGGTAGATTAGACGGTAAAGGCCAAGCCTGGGAACGCCAAACATATGTCAAATCTGCTGGCGTGCAAGTAATTGTGGAGGTCGTGTTGAAGTTCAATCACGATCAGAAAGCAAAGTCGCATGCACGGCGTAGTCTCCTAAAACTAGTCAAAGAAGAAACCATAGAACCGGTTGATCTGATCCATACGGAATTCAAATGTGTCAGCATTTTCTGCTAGATTATTTGATTGGTCCCTAGGCGGAGATTGGGCATATGGGACGCTAGCCTCAAATTCGGGAGGAATTCCAAAAACGGGTTGTCAAGCTGTAATTCTGCCATTATGTTGTCAAGGAAATTACACCTGCTCCGTAATTGCAATCACGTAGCTTTCTCTCTCGCCTATGCTGAGAACACCACTTGAATAGATCTACTTGGAAAGGCAAACAGAGTAATTGGGAGAGGGTAGGGAACGACAAGAACTTGTTAAGCCTATGCAGAACGCTCATTCGACATTCTTGCAATCTTAACATGGTTAAATAGTCAGGATGCTTCTTCTTCAAGCCTGACCGCCCTTTCCGAATGCGCTGGGAAATCCGAATCTAGAAATATCCTAGAGTCAATGGTAAAAGGATTTGAGTGGTAATTCAAATCATTAAAAATGAATCATGAAGACTCAGCGGCACTCTAAAATTCACTCCCAAAAGGATACTTTAGTGGAGATTCGACTTTAAAAGTAAGAACTAGTAAAATTAGCTAGGCTAGGTGCTTGAGCCCAAAGTCACCTGTGAGTGTCAGTCATGGCGCAAGCCGACGTACATAAGTGAGCATTTCCCAATCATAAGCAGTGACGCATCAAACATAATAATCAGCTAGAAACCTTCCAAAGTGATTTTTTCTTTTTTCTTCTTGAAAATTACTGTTTTGATCAGCATATAACTTCATTTTTCTTTATTCGTGCCTGTTTTCATTACCAAACGTCGATCGCGCGGATGACAGTTTTAGTGTGAAGCAGTAGCAGGGGTTTAGTAACCCATCCATTTGGGGGTCATTTGGTCCAGTTGTCCGGATCTGAAACCGGCGGCACGCGCGTTTACACTTACAATTTGCTATGCCGTGTTGCCTGAAAGGGCAGCGCGATCGCGCCATTCATGACCCACTGCCTTTTCCGCAATGCCGCGTTCTGACCTAATGACACCCATCGGGATTTACGATTCCATTGACTGGTGGGCTTTGGTTTTCAGTAAACATGCTATTTCAGGGTGCAGTCTTTTCTCTGATTTTCAATTAAATTGCCCTATGAATGATTGGTAGTGTTCACCCATATGTTTGTAAACGACTTCATCATCTTTGAGATATTTTTCTGCGCAGTCTTCAGTATTATTGTGATTCATATATACTGAAACATTTTTATTTTTTCAACATTTATTCATAGCTGAACAGCAATAAATCAAGCATCAATAATAGAGCTCCCGTAGTTCGCCGCAATATTCTTACTAGATCCGAGGGAAGGGCACCCATTCCACAACAGTTTGGGGAAAGGTGGAAGGGGTTGCTGGGTTCAAATTACAAGAAGATAAGGTAGCGATACGTTTTCTAAGTTCACTTCCCCTTTGACTTGATGATATGGGTGACTGTCTATCTGCTGAATACCAGAACCTGTTCGGGTCCAAGCCTGCTGGGATGGGGAAGGCTCAGCTAAGCAGGGAGAGAGAGCTTCGGTCCGTGAATCTTAATATATGAGGTGATTAACAACAAAAGGTGAAGCTCTTCGTCCTCGATCGATCCCGGGCTCCCATCCCCATTTACTCGAATGATGGTGACATTCGGTCGCTTGCTTCGCCCATGCAATGAATTGTGGTAGCCGGTGAATGTAATTATATGGGGCAATGTTTTTATTCTCCTCCAGACGAACTTGATTCCAACTAATCAACTTCGAAAGGAAAGACGGCTAGGTTGCCTCGGGCCGGCATTCCATCATGGACTGGAGTTGTGGTCATGCATCACTTGAGACTGCTCTGCGTAAAAGAAACTAAGACACAAATTGAATATATTACAAATCCTGTTGGGTAGACACCAATCTCGGGAGGAAGGCTTGCTCCGTTGCAAATTTGTTCTACACATGGCTTGAAAAGGGTGCAAAGGGTGAAAAGAAAGGGAAAGGGAGTTCGAGCTGTTGACCATGTCCCTATCCAACGATATTGCTAAACACAGCCTTTACAAAATACTTGATGCTCTCAAGGGTACTTTGAGAGGTATTGCTTGACGTACGTGGTCTTTGTTCGATGATTTGTAGGTGCTTACCATCTGCTATCTGTGAACTCATATGACCTGCTAGTTTCTTGGGCCTTCTTGAAGGAGCAGCTATTCTCCATGTTCAACTCTGCAGTTCTATAGATTTTTTCATGCAAAAGCACTCAAAAGGTCGTTGGTAGTAAGGCTAAGTACGACGCACCATTAATTCCTTGGCAGTATCGTAAAAAACCCGTTGTTNGGAGTTCGAGCTGTGAACCATGTCCTTAGCCAACGATACCGCTTAACACAGATTTTACAAAATATTTGTTTTCGATGCTCTCAAGGGTACTTTGAGAGGTACTGCTTGACGTACGTGGTCTTTGTTCGATTATTTGTAGGTGCTAACCATCTGCTATTTGTGAACTCATATGACCTGCTAGTTTCTTGGGCCTTCTTGGAGGAGCAGCTATTCCCATGCTCAACCGATATGAGCTCAACTCTACAGTTTTATAGATTTTTTCTATGCAAAGGCACTCAAAAGGTCGTTGGTAGTAAGGCTAAGTACGACGCACCATTAATTCCTTGGCAGTATCGTAAAAAACCCGTTGTTGCACCCTATGAAATTCCATTTCGAATGCTTCCAGTTCTTAATAACCAGCACTTATTTACACAACCCTGGAAGGGGAAGTGCAGTATGGGAAGGTATGAATAACGTAACAATAACGAGGTTGGGAAACCCCCAGAACTCGTCGTGGTGCCCATGTTCCGACTTTTGACCCTTTGTTTACTTACTGTCAGTTAAAGTTATGACTCAAACCCTGATAAGAAACTGAGGTGACCACAGCTTATGAGTAAAAGATGGCTTTCGAAATTGCAGACTCACCCAGTGGAACCTTATTTTAAAAAGAAATGGCTTGATCGGATACAGCTGAAAGGTAATACCAGTCATTCATTTTCAGGTAAAGCAGGTGGTTACAATCGATCAGCGAAAAACTGTCCGATTACTAAGCAAAGGAACCTGTCACTTCCAGGTAAGCAATGGATTAATGGCTCGATTTTGCATTTCCTTTGACCCTTGGTGTTCACAGCCTATTTCCCACGGGATCTGGAAACCAAGAGACACCTTCTACGCTTCTCGAACTTCGTTGGAGGGGAATACGGGTCTAGTAGAGAAGTCTGCTATAGAAAGGTATTATTTGGGCGAGTAGTGGGGTCTTATTTGCAGGAGAGGAAAGTAATCGAACGGGAGCTTATGGTTCGATAATCTTCGAGGGGTCAGAGAAGGGAGATGGGGTGTGTTGCTTTATACCCGAACCATTTACAGTATGTTGCGATTCCTAGCTAGTTGTCTCGCTTTGCGCCATTTTTTGGTCGCTCTACTTGTCGCTTGACATGCCGTTCGGGGATAAGGCTCGCTACAAACTCTTTAGAGAATTCATGTTTCCAATGGAGATTCAGAGAAGATAGCGAAAGAACTTTTCCCATGCTTGCTCCCTGTAAGAATATTGAAGGGTTCTAATATAAGTCACACCGTTTCTAGATTATTCACCTTGCTTGAGCAGATATTCAAGTTTGAAGCTGGGAAGTGAGTGCACTCACCCCTACAGACTAGTAACGGGCATATCCTTAACTTGTAATCAGTGTCTCCGACCTTGCGAGAGCCGAAGGGCCGAAACTTTCCAGTCTTATCTAGGAAGCCATAAGAAGTGCAGGGGAAAATAGTACAATATCTTAGAAACGGTTAATTGGAATAGACTACAGTAGAAGTTATTAGGAGATTTGTTTATGTGAACTTGTGAGTTTTTTGAATTCCATAATAATTATTTCAGTTCGCTATGAAACAAAAGATCGATCTCAAAGAAAATCCCCTCGGCATTGGAAAAGAAATCATGATTGACTAACTGGATTATTGATTTGTTGTTGTTTATTATATTGCTTGTTTAAACGACCCACTCCCATCGATATGCATTGTGAATTTGATGAATGGATACATTCCTCTTTGAACATAATAAATATTAAACATCTATTTATAAGAGTTTTACAGTAGGATGATACGTAGGAGCTTTTCAGTTGAATTGTGTTGTAGACATGCTAGAAAATGGTCACACAGCAATTTTGTCGAAGGAAATCAAAGGTTTTCAGCAAAATATTTGTGTCCTTACATATAGGATTTGAGCGAGCGGTCACGCACGCGTTTGTCGTATCCACTAACATTTGAAGGGAGCAATAAAACTTGGGGATAAAATCAAGTCGAAACCCAGATACCCCACGATTTTTGCTTGCTGTTGAGGCTGTAGACTATGGTTCGTTTATAGTCAGGCTGATCTCAGTGCTGCCAATCTGCAGTTTAGCATGAAAACGCTGTTCAAAGGCTGCTGTGCTACATAGGTTTGGGCAGTTATCGTTTTCAATGACTTTACTTTCATTGAATCCGCTCCGTGGTAGTCATCAAACTTCCAGGAAGCAAATTCATGGTGTCACAGCAGCCGTCGATGGGTCCCACTAATTAGAAGTGAGGTTTCAGCCCCGATGTGAAGTAAAAAGGCGAAATGTAAAGCCGACTTTCAGGAATCTTTTTGAACGATACCTTCGAAATCAGAAGTTTCGCTTTCTAACCATGTAAACAAGCCCCTCGACAGGTAGCATGTTGTAGGTGCCTATGATCACTCACTTGGGATGCTATGAGAGCCTTTGGAACCAGTTACGGCCTTTCAATTTCCCTTCTTACTGGTAATGTGTATACATACAGAACACTTGCTAGACATACACGAATACAACACGGTGCCAGGGACTGCTGAGAATCATAACACGACTATATTTATGATGGTAATGTCCAAAGTTCTCTAATTAGTCCTGTTTTTAGGAGTGGCTTCAATTTTAGGATTCCGGATCCATCCAGAATCGCAGTGGTGTTTTAAACTCCAACTTAGCCTTTACCCATAAATTAGCCAGCCGATGTATAAGACGTGTATAATCTGCTATCCCTCGGAGGTCGATAAGTTGGTACAACCTTCTAAATGACAGACTAACTTATCGACAAAGGAGGGATAGGAAATTTGGTTTTCTTAGCGGTTCTGCATCCAGGTTTCGTACCCCGGACCATGCGCGTGTCAGTATGCCATACTTGCCAATGTTTTACATCCTTTTTATAAGAATAATTTGTTAAGGATAACTTGTGTGGTGCTGTTGATTCAAGAGGGGAAAAGATGAAAGGAGAATACATGGGAGCCTGTCTTTGAACACCAATCGACTGAAGAACTCGAGCATCAATGTAATCTTCTGGCTGGGCCACATTAACCCTCACTTCGAGTAGCCACCACGGAGTTGCTTCAGACGATGTATTGGAGAAAGTTGGCGGCGTTCAGGTGGTTAATCTGTCGCTATTATTTNTTTGTGCCCACAGGGCTTTGGTATGTTCTCTGGCCTCATACACTCAGAATTGAGATCATAGACGAATACGACATGAAAACTCAATCGTTTTCGTCATGAAGAGGTTCAGTGCGGGATCGAGTTCCCGATACTATCCAAGCCGTTGATCCATGCAGGGCTGATTGGATTGTTCCAGACACGTCTGGGAGAATACAAGTACTGACTCGAGCCTCGGCTGTCCATCACAATTCATTCCATAGGCTCCATGCGCATCAAAACGTCATTACGACTCCGAAAAAGTCTAATGCTGAGCCATATTTTGAGAAGACGTTAACTTCAAAACGTCGCTTAGCTCTAATCCTCATGGAATAGAAAAGCCTCCTAATCAATTACCACTCCTTAGCGAGTATGATGTACGGTGTTGACCAATCTAAACCTAGCCCTCCATTATGTAGTCCACAAAAAAGCAGTTGAAATTGAACAAAGGGCGATTCCCTTAACTATCAATAGCCTGCTTCTCGAATAATTTACCCACTTGACTTCCACATAGATTCGTCATGGCATCTGAGTTCATCCTTGCCCTCTAGAAATCCTTGTGCAGTCTGCGTACAAGCCATTTTTCTAATCTCCTCGGCAAAACTGCTAACAGTAAGACTCTCACTTACTTACGAGTTACTAATGGGTCGGGTACGGTTGTGGTTTTGTGTTACTATTTGAGGTATTGCCTGGGGTAGCTGCACTGGTTGACATTAACAGTGTTGTTTGACTCAGATTCTCTAGTCGACATAAATGTGAGTGCAAAGGTACTTCTTAATGAATTCGTTATTATTCTGAACACTTCAAAAATACTATTTCTTTATTTAGTTATCAAATTAGCTAGCTACAATCAGCTCTGTGACTTCCAGTTGCCTTTTTTGGCTTCCTTTTGCCGGTACATCCGTCCTGCCTCTAGTAGAATGGGCAAAAGCTCACGAAATCTTCAATCCGCTCTTTCAAGCAACTTTTTATTCTAATTCTCACTCTTGCAACTCCTGTGGACAGATTCCGGAAAATTGTAGTCATAAAAATAGGACACTGTTCCCATAAGGATATTTCAACCAGCAGTCGGGAGGATTTTGCAGTCGATCATACCCGTGCAGAGAAGGAACATTTGAGAGTACAAAGCCCTATTTGCGATTGGGGTCGAGGAAGACTAAGCCCTCAATGATTCAGGCATTTTCTTGGAAATTGGATGTGAGTTCGTAATCTATAGTAAAATTCAGTGAGATGTGCTGACAGAGTCATTTCAGCTGGGCTACTCTTTTCTCTGGTTTTTTATCTCGTCAAGAACAGCTTAGCTGTCAAACATTTATTCATTCAGTTGTCCTACCTTACATTGCACTCATAGTGTGCCATTACTATCGTCACTCGATGAACTATCCTAAGTATAGGCATTGTGAAGGTGCTCATTGAAACGTCATTCTTCCTCTTCTAATACCCTTCAGCTCTCTCATGAGATCGTCTTGGCAAATATAATACCAGCTTATTCAAGCTACCGTAAAACGTCTAAAAAGACATTTTGTTACATTCTAGCCCTACCTATTCGATTTTGAATGACAACGTTTTCGAGAAGAAAAAGTTAAGATTAAAGTAAAATGAACTACATCGAGCGGATGACAAGCCGCCACTGGAGCAACTTAAATTCTACAAAACTTCAATGAAAACGCTCTTCACATTCATGGCTTACTCCATTCATTACATCTATTTATTATGTTGTGAGTAAACATCGAAATGTAGTATTATGAGTGTGGATTTCCTTCATATAATTACTCAGATTCGGAAAAGAGTTTTGATGGTCCACGAGAACCCTTCCGAGAAACCAAGCCGCTCTTTCTGGATTAAGCTCCATTGACACGACATGTAGCATGGAATTTTGATTTAGCTGTCCAAGTTTTTAAAAAACATAGGAATTCCCTTGGTTTTATATGGAAGTGACGTCGAAATTCTTACTATGAAATTCAAATTAATCCATTTTTTTGGTGGCCGTGTTAAGGTTCACTGTCGTTGTTGTAGTCATCGTTATGAAATGGCTGCCCTCATCGTCCGTCAGTGTTTCAACACAATTAATCTACCATCAAACCCTCAGTCCCCCACTCAGTTTTAAAGTCTTGGATTAAAGGTTCAGGTTTACAAAATGGTCTCGAAGCTCGTTGATTACTATGAAGTCGACGATTGAGTCTTCACTTTCTAAGCAATTGAAAAAAGTCATTGACCCTGAGTTTCTTTTGAGCACAGCACAACGATTCGAACAACAACAACTCAAAGTAGGATTCATCAAAGTCATAAGATTTAGAAAATGTTTTACATGATTGCTGATCTGGCAGGCCAACCGTTATGGATCTTTTGCTTTTCTTGGCCACCGAACATAGCTGGATCTAGAGTTGCGTCCGATTCAGTCAGCTCGGTCTATAGTCGATCTTGTGAACAGTACAGTTGTTTAATATATAGCTACTCTGGCTTTACAGCTCTTTTCCTGATTATCAAGCCGCTGTAATTCCGCCCCAATGGTAGTTCGATTACTTTTTTCACCAAAATGGAGCAGAGCGGGCGGCACGGCTTACTCATTGCCACGATGAAAATACCAGAAAAATCCTGACTATGAGTCATCACTGATGGATACAACGACATCCAGTTAGCAATTTAGGCTGAATATTTTTTCTAGAAGAGTATTGATGGCATCAGCGTCATTTATTGCAGAGCATGGGCCTTTCCCACGGGAATTCCCACTGCGTTATAGACATCGAATGGCCCGACACATTTTCATCCCAGTCACTTCAAGATGTCGCATCGAATTTCGCTTTCCTATGCTCGTTATCCGCTATTTTGCATTGACTCGGTAAATCATAAATTAGCACAACCACATAAGTAGAAAAAATGAAAATTTATAGAAATTGGTGAGCGATGAAATGGCAGTGTAGGAATGGTCTATCTCTAGTGAATCTTCAAAGCGAATTCTTCTACCTGGGGCCATAAGGTATGCTCTCCTGTTCGGGGCTGGGACGCCCCGATTCGGGTCTCT